TTTAAAAATTGCTCGACAAAATGCTACTTCTCGACGCGCGAAAAAGTCACTTTGTCATCCGGCTCTGTCCTCGCCTATTACTACCATACGTGAGCGATGAGCGAGTAAAAATTATACAGCTATCGAAAAATAACGATAATGAGCTGAGGAAACGATTCTGACAGTTAGAATTAGAATTACCGTCAAGTTTCTAAAAAGTAAACTTTGAGCGCCTCAAAAGTACCGATGACAGCCGTTTTTCGGGGTACTTTTGTAATATAAGCCCCTTGCAGCCGCTATAGGACATTTGCGTCAGTGCAAGATCCAGTTTCTGTCAACTATACAACTATTCTGTTACGCGATTCTACTTTATTGCAACCAAACTATTTCTTATGTATTTTTTTTATTGAGAAAACACAAAAGCTGCATCAACCACGCAGGGTTATTAGCGGCTGGACGACAAGGTTACAATGATAGGGTACATAGTTACATACACTACATAAGACATTAGATTAAATTATAGGTATTGGATTCTTTGAGAAACTGTAGTGTTCGTTCGTAGTCCGTGGTGAGGGCTTCCTTTATGGATTCTGGCATGCAAGCATGGTTTCGTGCATCTTGCGTGACAAGAGTATATGCTTCACGGTAAGTCTGCAGTCTGGGAGTTGGCAGGTTTGGCATGTTGGGGCTTCTTCGTTGCTGAACAGGTATTCATGTGTCACTAGTGTATGACCAATTAGCAAACGGGAGATAATCACTTGGTCGCGTCTTCTTCTGGGTAGACTGACGTGTTCCGTCACACTTGAAATAGCCTCCCGCAGTTTGGTGGTGCTATTGTTCCATTGGCTTTGCCAAATAGTACAGATGTGTTGTTTTGCCAGGGTCATCAAATTGGTATGTGGTGTGTTTATTATTTCTAGATTGGCGTCGGTCACCGTGGCAGGTGCTGCTCGATCGGCTTTTTCATTTCCGTCTATTCCTACGTGAGACGGTATCCATAGAAATTTCACTGTCTTCATTTTGTTGGATAGTAGGTTGATACATTGCTTTATTTATTTCAGAATAGGGTGTTGCGGGTATAATTTCTTGATTCCTTCCAGTGCACTCATGGAGTCGGACAGAATAAGTATATTCCTTGTTGGGGTTGCCTCTGCGATGCTTAGGGCTAACTTGATAGCACTTTGCTCTCCGGTAAAGATGCTGCTGTGATGACGGACAGATGCTGTTTTCTGGTTGTTGTCTTGAATTGCTACACATCCCACTCCATTTCGCGACTTCGAAGCATCGGTAAAGATGAGCATATGGTTTTTGTAGTGTTCAATTACTTCTCTGTATTTATTTTGGATGACTATATGACTGGTTTCTCTTTTGGTGTAACAGTTAAGCGATGTATTAATATCGGGTAGGCGCATTGTCCATGGGGAAGCATATAACGAATATGAGTACGTGTGCTGAAGATTGTTTAGGTTGAAGTCGGCGCGAATAATACGCTCTGATATTGGGCAGTCTCTGTAGTTGCTGTATAATCCTCTGGAAGAACACTTGACAGTAATGTGGTGAGCAGGATTGTCTGGTAAGCTTGAAATTTTGGTGGCATAGCGTAGAGCAAGGTATTCTCTTCGAAGGTGTAACGGGGGCTCATTAGCTAGGACATGGATGCTTTCCACCAGTGAAGTTCTTAGTAAGCCATATGCCAGTCGTATTGCCTTGTGTTGTAAAATGTCAAGCTTTTTTAGAGAATTTTTACTTGCGGTTGTATAGCATATAGTCCCATAGTCGATTTTGCTTCTTAATATAGCGCGATATACTCCCATTAGTGATAAGAAGTCACTTCCTCAAAAGGTATTTGCTAAGACTTTAATAAGGTTCAAACTTTTTTGACACGATGATACTAATTTTGTTATATGTAGATCCCACTTCAGTTTCGAATCAAGTGTCATCCCAATAAAAACTATACTGTCAACTTTCTGAATTCTGGTGCTGTTCAGAGAGAGTACGATATTGTCAGTGGTGCGTCTAGATTTGCTAAATATAAGGTATTTGGTCTTATCGCTGGAGAAACGAAAACCTGATGTAGCTGCCTCTCTCTCCATTTTATTGATTGATTGTTATATGATGCTTTGTCCTGTGGGTAGGTTATTCGTTGGTAAGTATATAACTAAGTCATCTGCGTACATCAGTGCCTTTACTGGTCTCTTAAATAGTTCAATTAATTCATTGATCGTTATTAAAAAAAGTGTGACGCTTAACACGGATCCCTGCGGTATTCCATTTGCTAATGTTATTTCGTTGGACATCTTTCCGTTGGCTCTCACCCTCGTGGTGCGGTTACTCAGAAAGTTTTGTATGCAACCTAAGAGATGCCCTTGGATTCCCATCTCAATCGCGGATTTTATGATAAGATATCGCCAGGTGGTGTCGTAAGCTTTGTCTATGTCGAAGAATACAGCTATAACACTTTGGTTGTTTGCGAATGCTTGCTTGATGGTGGATTCCAGTACTACAGTGTTATCTGTCGTAGACCTGTTGCTTCGGAAACCATTTTGTAAGTTGTTAATTTGTTTGTGTTGTTCTAAAAACCATAACAGGCGTTTATTGAGGATTTTCTCCATCAGCTTGCACATATAACATGTCAGCGATATCCACCTATACGAAGCAGGGTCATGTTGAGGCTTATTTAGCTTTAGGATGGGGATAGCAATGGCTGTCCTCCAGACGTCAGGGAATTGTCGGGTCACCAGAATCTTATTGTATATGTCTATCAAGATTGATTTTGCCGTCAATGGGAGGTGTTTCAAGAAAGAGTATGGAATATCGTCAGGACCTGGGGAAGTACTTCTTGGTGTTCTTAGTGCTTCTTCCAGTTCTTTTATTGCAATAAGGCTGGTTATTGGACTGTGATCGTTCGGTACGGTGATAGTATCTCCTTCAACCTGTGACTTGTACTGGAGAAAACAAGGGCTGTAGTTGATTTCGCTAGAGTGTCCTGAGTAGACGTCAGCAAAGATTTCTGGGATAGCTGATTTGTCAGATGCTACTTGGTTATTGTATTTTATAGAGGTTATTTCGTAGCTTGTTTTTGATCCACTAATGCTCTTGATTTTATTCCAGGTTTGCGATGCAGACGAGTTAATAGTGGATACATAGATTCACCAGGATTCTTTCTTGCTTTTGTTGATATGATATCTGGCTTTTGCTCTAGCTTGTTTAAATTTTTGCAGAGTTTTCGGCTGTGTTATGTTTCTTCATTGAAACAATGTTTGCAGGTGGCTATTGCATCAGAGACTTGTTGATTCCGCCATGGGACTGGTTTCCTGTTACAGGTTTTCGTTTTTCCTACGGCGATGTGAGCGGCATCGTTTATAACGTGAATCAGGCTGTTGATCTCGATATTGATGTCTTCACATTTGGGAAGTAATGGTAAGCGTTGTTCAACCTGCTGTTGGTATTTATCCCAATCAGCTTTATTCAACTTCCATCTTTGTGTAGTGGATGCAGAAGACGCATCATCTTTACTATGGCCAATAGTTATAGGATAGTGGTCACTATCATAGAGGACAGATAGGGGGTTCCAGTGGAGAAAAGGGGCTGAAGAAGGGTCACAGAAAGATAAATCAATGGACGAGAACTTCCCATTGAAAGCATTGAACCTAGTGCTGCGACGATCATTAAGTTGTATGAGACCAATATTGTCAAATATGTTTTCTAGCTCCATGCCATATCTTTCAGAGAAGTCTGATCCCCAGCATATATTATGACAATTAAGATCTCCTAGTATGATTCTGGGCATGGAAATTTGTAGCAGCAAAGACTCTATTGCGTTAAAGTCTATATCTTTTGGGTGTGGTATGTATATATTGCAGATACGTATGGTTGAGTGGTATGTGATCTACACAGCAACAGCTTCCAGATCTGTAGTAATGGGAAGTCTTTTTGCTTGTATAGAGGTTTTGGTGAATATTGCTACTCTTCCTGCTGCTCTTTTTTTTTTTTTTATACTCCAACTACCACGAAGACCTAAGTTCTAAGCACCCATTGGGTACCGTGGGGCTATGGGGGATACATGGGAAAGGGGGGACGCCACACGGACTCTGGCGAGGGAACACGTGTGCATGCAACATGCACACATTCTGGCTCCGCCTACGAGAACCGCCGGGTGGTACCTCCGCGTTCGACAGTCAGAGACCATCTACCACCTACGGACAATCACAACATCCATGGCCAAGAGAAACATTTCTCCTGGGACGGGACTCGAACCCGCACAGCGCACGGCGGCTGATCAGGAGACCGAAGGGTCTACTACTGCGCCCACCGCTGCTGCTCTATCCTGATTTGGTCTATTTTTGTAAAAGCTAGAGTAGTTCTTGAGTGTGTGGCTGTGATTATCATTCTTGAGATGAGTTTCTTGCAGACAGATTACATATGGATTATTTTCATGTATTAGCAAGTTGAGCATTTCTTTATGGGTATAGTACCCGTTCAGGTTCCACTGAATTAGAAACATGAAAATATCTAGTATATTGAGAAAGAGGAACCCGAGACTTCACCATCGGATGATTCTAGATCCTTTTCTTCACTGTTTTTGGATGATATGTTTTCTAGATGTTTCGCTAATTTTTTTCTGATTTTTGTAATTTTTACTTTTGTGCTCCTATCCTTTAAATGTGAGTATAGTTCAGCCAAAAGCTGGTTCATATCCGGTATGTTATTTGTGTAGTTTCTAAACGTTGCTATTATATCTTTGGATTTATATGTATTTTCTATCATGTCCGCTACCTCTGATACGTTTAGCTTGGTTGACGTAAACCGTGAGTTTATGAATTTCCCGGCGGGTTCCAAGGATTTGTTATGTACATTAGATGAGTCTAATTCCATTCTTGTTTCGGTGTCTTCATTTCTGGATTGTGATTTGGGGCATTTTTCCAATGTATGTCCCGTTTGCTTGCAAAGAGTACAGCTTGGTCCGTCTACGGAGAAAAATATCTTGTATGTCGTTTCCTCAAAGGTTATAGTGGTAGACTCTACGATTTCGCTAACTGGTGGTCTACTTGTCGACGGAAACGGAGAATGTGATTGTATTCATTTTCCGGCATTCCAACTCGGAGGTAAGTCATGCGGGAGAGTAGCTTCAGGCCCATAGTTGTTAGTGAACTTTCAATAATGTTGTTTGGCACAGAGGGGCAGACATTTGAAATAACTAGCCTTTGAGCAGGTGTAACAAGTCGTCTTATTTCGATGTCGTGGTCTTGGATCTTTATGGATTTGTGTTCAGTTATTATTTTGTCCACGCTATCAGTGTTACTCAGATACATACAGATTCGGCCGTTAGCAATTCTTGATGCGAACAGTATATTTTTGGGACCTACAATCGAGCCAATTGCAATAATATAATCATGGATTTTTATCCCATCCACTGCTGTTAGGAGAATCGCTTGGTTTTTTGATGGTGTTTTGCTGACTGGCTGCTGTAGGAGTGCACTGGAGTATGATGATGAAGTAGTTGTACTGTTTCTATTATTATCAGGTTGAGTCATGTTTAGATAGTTTTAGTGCGAGACTGGTTGGGAAATTCTGGAGCCGGCCCTGGCGGTACTGCTCGAACTCAGCGTGGATCTAGGTGCAGTACGGCTGACCGAACCGCACCGGTCTTTGGTTACGTTATCCGATATCCCTTGCAGTAATGTAAGGATGTCCACTTACTTGCTGGTTTTTGGTGACCGACGTCTTGGTGAGGGTTGGATTGGTGGGTGAACTTTTCAGTAAATAAAACGAACTAATAACTTTCACACATGATATAAACTCGCAGAGTACTATCGATACTACTTTCAAGTTAGACGGTCAGGACCGTCCTCTTCTTATGTATTGTATAGACGAGGTGAAGAATATAAAACTAACACATTACAGTCATCTTGTTTACTTATATATCAGCAATTGTAAATTTCATACACAGGTATATGATAAACTTCTACACTGTGATATAGGGCTATTGACTTACTTGCGCAGCAAATTTTATTGTGATTATCGTGCAAAGTAGTTACGCAATTTCTACGGGCTTCGTATTTGATTCATATTTTAATAATGATCAAAACTATGTCTAGATTTTTAAGATGGAAAACTGAAGTTATCTGCGTTAAATCTTCCACAAATCCTATATTTAGACACAATTAAACTGAAGTTTATCACTTTATATCTGTAATTTGGAACTGAAACATAATTATTTAATATTAAATAGAGGAATAAATGTTTACCCAATATGGCGGGTGGTTGTGTATAAATCATGGCATCGTCCATGTTGTCTTTAGTTTATTAGAATATATTTTGGTGTTGCCTGCAGGTATTATACAACAATATGACAAATGTCTGAAATGAAATACCGACAGAGTTGAATGATTTACCCAGAATTTGTACCAGATCTATATCTTCTGTTTGAACAAATAATAAAACCTTTTGAACCAATATGCATGCGTTGTTTGTCTAAAACATTGGTTATGGCATTTTAACAAAAATATGACAGCAGAAAGTTAGGTTATGGTGAAGTTGTATACCAACATATTTAGCAACAAATGTATGCCGAGAACAGCAATTTTGTACTACAAAAGTTGTAATATTGTTGCATATGTACAGCCTTTAACAGTTACTAAACAACAGTAGTATAAGTGCTTCCGTTGGGAACAATATGTTGGCTAAAATATTAAATTTGCACATCAAAACAACAAGGCTCGCGTTTATTTTATAAACGTTACTACAGATACCACAACCATTTTGACTAACGTGCAAATATGCCGTATAAAATAGTTGTATAAACGTATATGCAACAGTTGAAAATTTGTTTTATGAGGTGTTGTATAACTATGCTGTAAGAATATTTTAAACACCTCATTTTAGAGCAACTATGTTGCAGAAAGCAAATTTGCATTCCACACAACATTAAGCCAGTAATTTGGTGTTCAGGCAACAACAATAGAGAGCTTTTATGGCTGAACGGTTCTTTTGTCAAAAGCTTATAGCACTACTTTGCTAGTTGGATGGTAATGTCATTTTCGATTAGTTTTAGCAATCGTTTAAATTGTTCCTTCAACACCCGAAAATATTTAATAAACTTGGTGTCGTTATTGCAGGAGTGGTTCAGCAGTAAGTTGAAGCAACCTTTTATGTTCCTCGTCATACATAAGTTGTGCTTTCTTCGTCTTCTTTTCTTCAGTGACATCCGTATCAAGCAGTCGTCATCCTCTTCCTCTTCGAGCAAAAGAAGAGCTAAAATTGTTTCATCATCCATTTCTGAACAAGTTGAAAGACCGTACTCAACTGACACCGACCCTAATGTTCGACGCACTCTGTTAATGACCACGTGAAGTTGGTGGTGGCGTACGGCTGCTGTACGCGACGTCAGCAGACGCTAGACGCAGCGTATAGCGTGAAAATTGGAGACCGCCGCCTTAGACAAAATTATATACATACGTCTAGGGAATACTCAGCGGTTTCTAAATACAGTATTACATTCATCATAAGTAAGTGATACATTTTAAAATAATACATCACATATTGAGGATTTCCTTAGACGTAAAAACTTCCCTAGAGGAATCGTGCGGTTATATTTTAAAAATTAATATGCCAATTCGCTTTTGGGCTGTGGTATTGTGAGATAAGAGACTATAAGCTAATGTGTAACAGACTTCCATTTATCCTTTTTTGTTCAAAAAAACCTTCATTTATAGAATAGCTGGATACGCTTTATTTAAACGTGTGCAAACATGATCAATATGTTCACAAAAATTTAGCCTACTGTCAAAATACGTACCGAGAAGTTTGCAAGAATCAGTTAAAGAAAGGTCATGCATCAAAAATAATAGTACGTTGGATATTACAGTACTGTACCTTAACTAACAAGAATCATCCGGTTTCGATAGATGACCGCGTTCTTCCAAAGAGCCGTTCATTTCGGCTGGTCAGAGCCCGATTACCCACGACTTGATCCGGCACGAATGCATACCGTCAATAGCGATAGCTGCTGGGAAAAAGCTAGGCTACTTGCTTATGGTTCTTTCTTTCTGTCATATAACCTCCCCACTCTTTAGACCCATATAATTTATAGCCGCCAGTACTGCTCGCATGTTTGGAGTGCTGCTGCCAGACTATATTCCCTTTGCTCGCTGTTGTTCAGAGGAGGGCTGTTCGACTGATCAATGATTCTTTTCTAACGGACAGCCTCGCGATGCTTTCGCACCTACCGCTATGTCAACGGGATTTGCTCTTGAGATCTTTCAAAATATGATGCAGCCGCGCGATTTGCCTGTTAAACAGACCCGCCTGACTTCGGCTTCCCATCATAATGGTGTCGAACTTGAGGAGGCCTTTCCCAATTCGACCAAGCTGACTCATGTTAAAAATCGGATTGAAAATGTTTATTTAAGCTCCTCACAGCAGCCGCAGTGCTATATTTAGGCTTCTGCCTAAGCGACTGCTTCGGTGCATACGACCCCCCCCTTCCGTCATTTACACTACTCATTTGATGCTTGTGCTTGGCAGATCACTATCACAAACAGTTATCTCTTGAAAATGATCGCCCCCCCTCCTCCTGAGAAATGCTCGCAGGCGCCCGTGTGAACTTATGTCGGGTTCATGCACGACTTAACGTAACCGAACTTAAGGATTAGCTGTTTCTACACCAGTATCCTCCACATGTTACGCCTCCAGATAGTAACTAGCTAGTGATTTCCAGTGGTGGTCAAACGTTTTGGTGACGTCACACCCATTTTTTGACATGATTTGGGTGGTTTCGGAACTCGTCTTACCCTTGGATAGCCCTTTCCGTACTGTTCTATGCTCGTATTGACGTAATTATAATAATTCTGTGGTGTCTCGTGTTCCACGACGATTTACCGAGAAAGCCAGGCGGTGACTCATCTGTTGTTTTTGTTTGAGTTGTTGGCGAATTTGCGGTAGAGATTTGTTTTGGTGTTCGTCTTCGGGTGTGTTTTTCTGCCTTGGACTTGTTTTTTGTGCGATTAATTGAGGATGGCCATGCCTAGAGCAAAAAGAAACGAAAAGCCGCGCTGGTATCAACTCCTGAGCTTGTTGAAGAGGTACCTGCAGAAGTCACCTAAACGCAATCGGACATCGCCAGAGGAGCGCCTAATGATGACGTTGCAGTAAGTATCCAAATCAGTTCATTTTTGCATAAATGACTAAATATATTGAGGTTATGGTCGTTTTCTTAATTCAAGGTCACTTCTTAAAATAAAGTTCAATATATTGAACTTTTTCTTAAGAACCAACCAATCGGATCACTAGCGTTGGTCAGCTGATCGCTACAGCTGGAATTAGAAGATTGGTACGAGCCATCGATACTGTACAAAAGTCAATAGTCGATATTTATATCGTGATGTTTGATCGATTTTATATCGCTGTATGGGCAGATGGTTCGGTGATAGGAGTATGAAAAATTATTTTCGCTTGCTTACGCATGACAGTTTAGAGCTGAACATCGGGACAGATTGATAAAAAAAATCAGAGATGTTAAAAGTTATAATAAATAAAGTCAGTGGTCATGTTTACTTCATCCCCTAACAAAGTGCGTATAGTGGTAGTTTCAGCAAAACCATGCCCCCCATGACATGTTTTTCCAAAACCTCACAGAACACTGTGAAGGTACTTTGTCATTAACTACGAACCAGGTGTACACTTGGCGAATGCTGTGTATTCGCAGCCCACCAAATATGTAAATATGTAAGTTTATTGAGGTAAACAGATGAGTAGCACGTAACTTTTTTTTGTACTGTTGGTAATAATAAATCTGGTAAAGGGACAAATTGAGGACTGGTGTTTGGTATCACCAATGAAAATTTGTTTACATACAGTATTTTGGCAATCAAATGTATACTGCTAGATTGGGAATTTACACATATGTACAGAGCAGTATCATCTGAAGGGGCGTGGTGAGATGACTATGTTTCTGTTTAGTTATTGCTGACCAAATATGACAGTGATATTATGCTAATAATTTTTTTTTTTCACAGTGTCAACATCTTTCGAGGAGACAGTTGGAGTGAAGATCGTCATTTATTTTATGGATACCAAATTAATTGTCAATGACATAAGGATTGTGTTTCCTAGTTTGAAGAAACAATTAGTGTTTTATGTGTTTTTGTTGAGGACAATTTTGTTTGCCTTTACCCATTAACAGTGTGTGCAAAACTATTTTTGATTCACATATCAGAGTCATTATATTTGTATTCCAGTCAGTCCTCTAATTACAGATGTATTTTTTGTTATTTTAGTATTTATGTTTTTGCAATAAATATACATGATCAATTGACAAGAGATAGTGCTTGCATGATATTGGACTGATCAGGTTCATAATAT